CGTGTAGAAAACTTCATCGTGATCGGACTCTCCTTTCGAAAGTTATCTTGTAAACGGCCGACCGGACGAACATACTGACCGATTCTAGAGTGTACTCACTTTTTGAGTACACAAAAAAGAAATTGTTTTAGGCTTGTTATAAGAAAATAAGACCTTGACGACACTACTTTTGGATTGCCCTAAATAGTATCATCTTCATGCTAAACGCTATTTTTTTTTACTCTTAGACATTCTCTCATAGCATAATTAAATAAAGAATAGAAGAATCTACTTACTATGTGTTTCAGACGATTGTATTAGATTGTAAATTTCGCATGATCAGTGATCATTTCATGAGTGTATTTATATTGTTCTAATGAAGTAATTGGGATTTTTGCCATTGATGCTTGTTGACACATAGAAGAGAAGGATTTTCACTTTGACAACATGGGAAAAAACATTATTAGTCTTCATCACTTATTCATTCGTCATTTGATGGTTTGTGATTTTGATATCGTACGTCATTTACTTTCGTATTCCCTTATGTTGACGTCATCTAATCAAACAGCGTAAGAAAAAAAACAAACCTAAGAAAGGAGCAATAACTATTTGAAAAGGTAAACGAAAAACAAATGTTCATCATCACCTACTCATTTACAATTTGAAGTTTTCTCATAACAAGTATTCGGGACAAAAATCCCAGTTACTTCATTAGAATAATATAGATCTAATCACAGAATGAGCAGTGATCAAGCGAAATGTACTATCAAACATAGTGGTCTTAAGGGTATGCGTGGGTGGGTATGATTCTATTGTAGTATAATCAATAGCTAGCAGGACGCGTTTCGATAAGTGCTAAAATGATATTTATCAATTGCTTTTAGATTGAAGGTGTTACGGATTTTAACTCTCCTACTAGGAATTACTGATGTCGCAATTTTTTGAGTAAAATTTTAAGATTATAAAAACTTGAGAAAGCGCCTACCGTAATGTTTTGTCTGAAGCCAATAGGCTCTTGGTTGCAGTTATTATTCACTGTTGTGTTTTTGTTGTAGGTTAATGTATCGTGGTATCAATATTGTTTCCTTTATAGTTTATTGTTCATCTGAAATATAGGTAGATTTATATTTGTTTTTGAAGGAAGCCCGTCTTATCTTGTTAGGTTATATTTTAAGGCTATTGAACATGAAACTTGCTAAAACAGGGTAGACATTTATTCAAGTTGAAAAGAAATTGTTTCACATAGTCAATATGTAAGTTTTTAGCATAGTCGAGTTTGATGAGATGAGGATATTCAATAATCGAAGATTTTTCTTAAAATTTAACTGCCTGGTGTGACGATTTCTTTTCTTTTTGTCCTATACTATGCCAAACTGTCAGACGACTGACAAATGGAAATGAACACGAGATTTGAGCAAAGAAAACGTGTTCAAAAGAGTAAAAATAATCAAATAAATGTAGAACACGAACATTCATGAATATAACACCCGGAAAACTGTGCGAAATGCACTGTATACATTCCATATTGGACAGAAGCGAATAGACATGACATCGACCCAACCTAGCGTAATTATGACGGCATTCAATGTGACCATCAGCATTATATCCTCTTTGGATGAACGTGCGTCGAATATAATAAAAAGATGGTTTATATTGTTCGTAAATATTGACATGTTGAGTAACGATATCGAACATACATGTATGTAGATGTGACATTTTACTGAATATATAGTTATCTAGATGAGTACTATCAATGAATGAAGTTTGTTAACTAACACGAAGAGATAATGTGAGCTTTTCCAAATGTGACATTCGATGAAGAAGAAGTGGCACAATAAAACTATCAAATTCAGTTGTTGCGTGTTATGCATATAGCGAAAAACATTTGAGTTCAAGTAGATTCATCTATAAAAAAAAACAAAAGATATTGATTAATACTATGTTAATTCTTCGCTCAATTATATAGATTGAATTAGTTTTATCTGACAGAATTATAAAACCATATGGGCGTGTTCAACCACAGGATGCCCCGATTCTTATTTGTTTATATAACTTCAACGAAATATCGGAAAAAGATGATTTTTTTACTAGATATAGTACACATATGGTGCTAATGATCTATTATTCTTTGAGCTCTATATCTCCCTAAAACCAAGAGTTATCAAGTGTTTCTTTATAATCATTTCGATAAAATATTCCACATCTAGTTTGTTAACGTAGATCAACTTTTACTTGGCATCTTTTTGTGATGTGTGGAATTTCGGGCACATGTATTTAACGCAAAGCTAGCTTTAAGTCTATCATAATATTCACAATCCTACTACGGTTTACTGATAGTATGATTTTTTTAGTAAAAACAATTATCGATCAGTATAGCCTATTGAACTTTATAAAGAGCAATAAGCAGAGTCGTACACATCAATACCTAGTAAAGCATGCATTGTGTCTATTACATACGCATATAATCGTCTGCGAAACATTCGAGAGAGACGATATACTTTTTCCTTTTTCCTTTTTCCTCTGAATTTCCTCTGATTCTCGCTATATATTTCGTGCACAATAAGATTTCATCCATTCTATTGAATCTTGTGTTTCAGTTTCTTTGTCTTGTTATAGCTACGTTCATCTTTTCCTCGATTTTGTTCGTTTTTCTTCTTCTTGAATACATTATTATTCGAGTAAAACGCTTATACATTTGTATTATGTTCTCTCCACAAGTTGAATGGGGTTGTTCCCAATGTCAATCTACTATAACTGATCGTCGAAAATATTGTACTAACTGTAACTCGATGTTAAGCTGGACATGTATTGGTTCGAGAAAATCTGGTTTATACGCAAACTTTTTTCGACATCGTAACAACTGTATTTATTGTACGTCGGAACTCGAAGACAAACCACAGAAAGTGGAAGAAAAACATGTTGCTATTCAACAACTTCAAATCTTAGATGATCGTAAGTAAAATTTATCTTCTTGATTTAGATGTGTCCCTCCCATTTCATTATTTTACGTCATAAAACTACGCAACAAATGATCGCGATGATATATCTTACTTTGTTTGCATTTTGTAGAACAACGTTCATGGTCTGAATGGGGTCGTACTAATGAATCCTGTATACAGCATACAGGGCATGATATTGAATAAGTACAACAATTATATTCGATGTGTGAACAAGCACTTATAAATTATTGCTTACATAGAACCAAGCAAGATTCAAACAATAGCACCACACCACTCTTATCTCCTATAAATTTGCTGATGGTGACATTATGGTACTTGAAGCATTATCATTCGGTACGCTATATTGCTACTGAATTATATTTGGGTATATCGACAGTACATCATATTTTAACAGAGGTTGTGGATATCTTACACTCATGTGTATATCCAGAACTAGTTTCATTAGCAGTTGATATGGCTAATAGAAACGCAATACATGGGCCTGAAGAGCATCATAAATTAATAGTTGATTCAACTTACATCGCCGTTCCGCAACCTGATGATTCACAACAACGTAAAACATATTATCATCCAAAAAGCGCAACAAATTATGTATTTAAAGTACAAATAACTTGTGATTTTAGCCATCGAATAGTACATATATCCGAATGTTACCACGGAAATGTACATGATATTACAATTCTAAGAGAATTGGGATTATTAGAATATACAGAAGAATCTGTCCAAATTATTGCTGACAAAGGATACATTGGTGAAGAATATGTTATTACTCCAAAAAAGGAAACCTCATAGAGGTGAATTAACAACTGAAGACAAAAATTTTAATCGTGACATCAATAGTGCAAGAGCAGCTATCGAAAACATCAATCAACGTCTCAAAACTTATGCAATTATAGGTGGTGTTTACAGAGGAGCTATTGATGATTTTCGTAAGATTACCAAGATCGTACAGGTTGTTACTGCTTTATGTAATCTAAATTTAAGTAAACATCCTATTCGTAAGTAGAGAGAATGATAAGTTAGCTGTATCTTTTGACTAATTATTTGATAATAAAACTTTTGCTGGTGATACTCCAAGTTGTTTTAATTTTCTAAGAATTAATACACATTAACAAGCTAGATGTGGAATACTTTAACGAAATGATTATAAAGAAATATTCAATACCTCTTAATTTTAGGGAGAGATAGAGCTCAAACGATAACAGATCATTAGCACCATATGAGTACTATAACTTCTAAAAAAGTCACCTTTTTCTAATATTTGGTTGAAGTTATATAAAAAAAATAAGAATCGAGGCATCCTATGGTTGAACACGCCTATATATGATCGTACAAGAATCTCATGCAGGTCTTAGTCTCCGATTTGTTGATCTGGGAAGATTATCCAAGTCAAACAAGCAGACGGTAAGATCTGACATGGTCGTACTTCTGATCTTGCAAGATCAGACGAAAAATCATACGAAAATCGTGGCCTCAGAATTCTTACATCAAGTCGTACCTTAAGATTGTTGACAAATCTTGCTGTTTTGTAAGATATTATTGTAAGATTATAGAAAATCTTCCCAGGTCAAAAAATCTGACAGGAAGTCTTGTACGATCATATGAAATCATACAAAAAAATCGTAGTCTCTGAAATCTTATATCAATCTTATTGTAAGATTCCTGTAAGATCTGGTAAGATAACAAGATCTATCAAGAATTTTACAATAAGAATTGATGTAAGATTTCAGAGACTACGATTTTTTGTACGATTTCACCTGATCGTACAAGACTTGATGTCTGATTTTTTGACTTGGATAGTGATATAACCAGGTTGAGAAGTACGGGCGGGTTCCGACAGGAAAGCATGGAAAGTCGCCGGCACAAGATGGCAGTATTCCAGCCGGAAATTTTTCGTTTTGTTTCTGGTGAATTCCGGACAACTTTCTGCAGAAAACGGGAGAAAGTTGACCGGAAGTCACCGGAAAAAATCCAAAAAATTTCCGACCGGAATACTGCCATCCTGTTCCAGTGAGTTCTGGTGTTTTCTCGCAGGATACGGTGAATTTCTCTGCATCTTTCCTGCAGGATTCTGCATGATCCGATGGCCGGAATCTTCGACTTGGGTAAGAAACGTTTTATTCGAAAGAATATCATTGAATATTTTTTATATCGAAATTATATATACTCTAATACAATGTATGAAAAAAATTGGAATAAATAAAAACGAGAATAAATGTTGTTGAGTGACATCTATATTGATATGATATATATGTTTCGGAATTGATGCATCAATTGATTATCTTAATGGCTGATATAAAAGAATTCTTTTTCAAAGGTGTTGAACATAAGGAAATCGATATTGTTTAAGTTCAATGAATAATAATCAAATTGAAATAGATCTTAATCAACTTCGAGTAAATATAAATGAAAAAAGAAAAAAAATCTTATTTATTTAAATAAAATAAAATATTTCTAAAAGGATCCATCAGGAATATTTGAATTAATCGAAGTTGTTGGAAATGGAACATATGGACAAGTTTATAAAGTTGTTTAAAACAATTATTTTCTTCTCTCATTTTTTTATTTTTAATAATTTTCAATTTTTATTTAAAAGGGTCGTCATACAAAAACAGGTCAATTGGCTGCTATTAAAGTTATGGATGTAACACAAGTTAGTTCGAACTATTTTTTTTTTATTTTCATATATATATGTATTTTTTTCTTCTTTTTGATTAGGATGAAGAAGAAGAAATCAAATTAGAAGTTAATGTTTTAAAAAAAGTTTGAATTGAAATTGTTAGAATGTAAAAGAAAAGTAAAATTTTGTTTATTTTTGTTAAAGTATTCGAATCATCGAAATATAGCGATGTATTATGGAGCATTTATAAATAAATCTTTCCCAGGAAGAAATGAACATGATCAATTATGGGTAAATGATTAATTATTTTTGAATAAATCTTAATATAAAAGAAAAATCTATTTTAAATAAAAAGTTGGTTATGGAATATTGTGGTGCTGGATCAATAACAGATTTAGTTAAATCAACAAAAGGAAATAGTTTAAAAGAAGAATGGATATCATTTATAAGTAAAGAAATCTTAAATGGTTTAAATCATCTTCATTTAAATAAAATAATTCATAGAGATATTAAAGGACAGGTTTGTCATAGAAATATTTATTCAATAAATTTCAATTTATTATTATTAAGAATGTTTTATTAACTGAAAATGCTGAAGTTAAATTAGTTGATTTTGGTGTATCAGCTCAACTTGATAGAACAATTGGAAGAAGAAATACTTTTATTGGAACACCTTATTGGTAAGATAAAAATATATATATATTTTACTTATTTAAATAAAATAATAAAATTTATAAAACTTAGGATGGCACCTGAAGTTATTGCATGTGATGAAAATCCTCAAGCTACATATGATAATAGAGTTAGATTTTATTTCTTATTATAATAAATCGAAATATTATTGTTTTTTATTAGAGTGATATATGGTCATTAGGAATAACAGCTATTGAAATGGCTGAAGGACAACCACGTTAGTTAACATTTTTCCTATTAGTATTTTTATTTGTTTTTTTTTAACTAATTAGCTTTATGTGAAATGCATCCAATGCGAGCACTTTTTTTAATTCCACGTAATGTAGCACCACGTTTAAAATCGAAATGGTTTGTTATTATTTTAAAATAAAATAATATAATATAATATACTAATATATATTTGTTAAAGGTCAAAAAAATTTCATAATTTTGTTGAATCATGTCTTATAAAAGATTATTTAATTCGTCCTAATTGTGAACAATTATTAAAACATTCATTTATTCGAGATTGTCAAGAAAAACAAATAAAACTTCAAATAAAAGAATTTCTTGATAAAACAAGAAAATATCGTCGATCATCAAATAATTCTCATCAACAAATTCATTCCGATATTCAACAAGATATTAAATCAAAATCAGATGAAGATGATGATGAAGATGATGATGACGATGATGATGATGATGATGATAATGATGATGATAATAATAAGAATAATAATAATGAGAAAAATCCAAATATTATTAATCAAGATCAATATAAACATTTTAAAGATGAACAACAATTAAATGAACATTTTACACAAAAAGAAAATAATTTAAATACTTTAAGACAAAATTTTAAATCTGTTCAACATATATCAACAAGTAATTTTATTTTTTTATTTTTCAAAAATATTATTTAAAAAACACAAAATTTTCATATAGATATTAAAAATGAAGATGATTCATCAAATATAGCTCAATCATATCCATATAAATCAAATTCATCAATATTATTACCAAGAAAAGCAGATGTTTGTTATTTATTTATATTGTTAAAACGAAAAAAAACCCGTATTATTTATTTATTTATTTATTTTAAAATAGGAATTAGTTGCTGTTGTTGAAAAATTAAATGAATTAGCTCGAAATGATTCCGATCAAGATGATCAAACAGATATTGATGATTCATTAAAAGAAATAAATTGTACACAAGATGAATTTATTAATTTAAATAATCAAAATAGAATATTACCAGATATTTTATCAAATCAACCAATTCATTTACTTGATCAAACTCAATCACATGAAGTTTGTTTTTTTTTTTCTGAAACAATAAAAACAATAAAAACCTATTTAAGTATCGACAAGCTGTTTCAAATATTCCTCAACGAACAACATCAATTATATCTTCACCTTTATTAAATATAAATAAAGATTCAAATCAATATAAAAGAACATCTCAAGTATGTTTACTTTCACTTGTTTTATTTCTATCACTACTAATTTAAATAAAGAGAGTTTCATCTATTAAATGAAAATAAAATAAAATATATTTAATTTGATTTATAAAATTTATAATATATGTTTCAATATTCTAAAATAGTATTATTATTATTATTATTGTCAGTTGAATAATTTAAATAATTAATTTATTTCTATTGATATATTTTAAATATATCAATATAGAATATTAGTCTTTGCTTTTTTTTTCTTTTTCTTCGATTGATTTTCTATAATAATTAATTAATATAAATTCGAATAAAAAAAAATTTCTTTTTTTCTTCTTTTTTATTTGTTTTTAAAACAAAAGATTGATGTTAATGTATCTCCACATATTGATGAAAATAATCAATTTAAATCTAATGCACCAGAAATTCGAAAATATAAAAAAAGATTTAATTGTGATATATTATGTGCAGCTTTATGGGGTAAGATACGATCATTTATTTAATGATTAATTAATTAATTAATAAATAAAATATAGGAGTTAATTTATTAATTGGAACAGATAATGGTTTAATGTTATTAGATCGAAGTGGTCAAGGAAAAGTTTATTCATTAATAAAAGGTCGTCGATTTCAACAATTAAATGTATTAGAATCTCAAAATATTCTTTTAACAATAAGTGGAAAAAAAAATAAAATTCGTCTTTATTATTTATCATTTTTAAAAAATAAAATAGTTAAAAGTCAAACAAATGATGGAAAACGACCTGCTTTTACTAATCTTGGTGAACTTCAAGGAGCTAAACATTTTAAAATAGGTTATTTATTTATTCATATTAATATTTATATTATATTATTTTATTTTAGTTAAATATGAAAGAATTAAATTTTTAATTGTTGCATTAGATGATTCAATAGAAGTTTATGCATGGGCACCAAAACCTTATCATAAATTTATGACATTTAAAGTATTTTCTCAATTATCATATCGTCCATTATTAGTTGATTTAACTATTGAAGAAGGTTCACGTTTAAAAGTTATTTATGGTTCA